CAACTGGACCCACTCTTCCCTTCCCCAACTCAGGCTATTGTACACAAAGGCTGCTATTAAGAGTTAGAATCATAGACTCACAGACGAGGAGGGCTGGAAGGGAGCCCAGGAGGTCACATCTAGTCCAACCCCTGCTCCAAGCAGGACCAGCCCCAACTCCATCATCCCAGCCAAGGCTTTGTCTACCCGGGTCTTTAAACACCTCCAAGGAGAGAGATTTCACAGCCTCTCTGGGTAACCTGCTCCAGTGCTTCACCGCCCCCCAGTGAGAAAATTCTTCCTAATATCCAACCTCAGTTTCCCTTGCTGCAACTTGAGCCCATTGCTCCTTGTCCTGTCATCTGCCCCCACTGAGAACAGCCCAGCGCCATCCTCTTTGCAGCCCCCCTGCAGGGAGGTGAAGGCTGCTATTAAATCCCGTCTTCTCTTCTGCAGAGTAAATTAACCCGGTTCCCTTAGCCTCACCTCACAAGTCATGTGCCTCAGCACCTGAAAACCATTTTCACTGCTCTCCACTGGACTGTCTCCAGTGTGTTCACACCCTTTCTGTAGTGGAGGCCCCACAACTGGACACAGGACTCCAGATGTGGCCTCACCAGGGCTGAATAGAGGGGAAGAATCACTGCCCTCGACCTACTGGCAACACCCACCAATGCAGCCCAGGATGCTGGTAGCCTTCTTGGCATCAAGGGCACACTGCTGGCTCATCTTCAGCTTCTTGTCCACTGTCAGCCCCAGGTCCTTTTCTGCAGAGCTGCTGCCCAGCCAGTCAGCCCCAGCTGTCCCAGTGCATGGGATTGCTCCATCCTAAGTGCAGGACTTTGCACTTGTCCTTGTTGAACCTCGAGAGGTTTCACTTGGTCCAATCCTCCAATTTGTCTAGATCACTCTGAATCCTAGCCCGACCCTCCAGCATATGTACTACACCCCTCAGCTTGGTGTCATCTACAAACTGGCTGAGGGTGCACACCATCCCATCTTCCAGGTCATTGATGAACATATTGAGCAAAACCAGCCCCAGGACTGACCCGTGGGACACTCCACTTGATACCAGCTGCCAACTAGACATCGAACCATTGATTACTACCCCCTGAGCCTGATGCTCCAGCCAGTTTTCTGTCTCCCTTACAGTCCATTCATCCAGCCCATACTTCCTTAGCTTGCCTGCAAGAACAGTGTGGGAGACCGTATGAAAAACCTTGCTAAAATCAAGGTCCCCCACATCCACTGGTCTCCCCGCATCCACAGAGCAGTCATCTCATCATAGTAGGCAATCAGGTTGGTCAGACATGACTTGCCCTTGGTGAATCCATGCAGACTGTTCCTAATTACCTTCTTTTTTTGCAAGATCAGCCAATAGTCTGTGAAATAAGCTAATGTTAAAGGCATACAATGTACATTCATTGCAATTTTTGCCAAGCATACTGATGCAATAAACTTTTTTATTATGATTATTGATCCTAAGTGATGGCTGGGGCCTTCGTTTTGTTCCAGATGCCACAAGTGTGGCTTCCATTTGTGGCACTTTTTAACTTCTCTTTCTATTCACAAATTCCCTTCTCCCTACCATCCCCAGCTAGCATTTCTGGCTGTAGAGGCATTTTTTAATGTTAATTCATCCATTCAGTCTCCACCTCGACTCAGTCCCAGAAAGTGATGTATGCAGAAAACAAAAATGTACTCTCCTAGCACTCTGAAAACTTGGGCAGTGTTTAAATAGTACCTCCTCTTGAGCATGTGGGATGCCTATACGTGACTTAGGGTCCTGATCCTTATCTCTTCCAACACTGACCTTATAGAAGATCTGAATGTGTTCCCACGGAGGAAGTCGCAGTTCAGTCCAGCATAGATGAGACTCGTGCTGATAACTTGGAACTCGTTAGAGTCCGACTCTACAGATTAAACATAACCAACAAAAAAAAGATCATTTGTCTAGCAACCGCAATCACTTCATCTGAAGAACTAAGTAAATGTAAATGAAATTTCAGTTTCCTGTCATTTTTGGCAGCTGATTATCTTTTCTTATTATTATATTCAGTTGCCTGTAATTGTACATCAAAGTTACAAAACCCCACACTGTTTCCCTTCCAGAGCATGTTTACTTTTCTCTTTAAAAGGGATACTTATCATTTGCTGGGTGGGTGGGGGTTGTTATTTATTTCTTTACTAGACAAGCCACTTGCTTTGAGCACTTCTTGATGTTTGAGGTCAGAAAACTACCTTGCCAATATTAGAAATAAAAAATGGAGCACGCAGTTGGCTTGAGGACAATTTTTAATTTACTGGTGCAGTGCAGTGGCCCAGAGGCAGAGGCTTTCCTTTTTATTCGGTTTCCTCCCCAAATTTATTAGTCGGGACAGAGCTGCCTTTCTTCCCTGTGTTCTCCTGGCTGAGAGCCTGGGGTTAATTATCAGGCTGGATATTGGAAAGCCCCTTCTAACCAGAGCAGATTACCTAGGGAAGATGTAAAATTGTGCATCGCTGAAAGTGTTTAAGGGCAGGTCAGACAAACACATGGCTGGGCTGGTTTATGATCCGGCCTCGAGCCAGAGGGTTGGACTAGCTGATCTCCTGAGGGCCCATCCAGCCCTGTTTGCCGTGGTTCTCTGATTTCCCATCACCATAAAAAACAAAAAAAAAAGATCCAATGTCCCCCCTATCCGGTATGAATCCTAGCAGCAGATGTGATAGGACAACATGCCTGTTTATTAGTTGCTAATTCTCTCCATTTATTCAGGTCAAGGGTTTGCTGAGCATCTGTTTAACAGCTCAGATCATGCCTGCACAGCAAACTGGACTAGTCAGAAAAGGTAGATTATAGAAGGTCACCTTCAATGGGATGGCATGTGTATCTCCAGTTATAATTTATATTAAATAGTATCTAAACTAACTCACTGGGACCTGGATACTGCATCGCTGTGTGTCTTTCCTGCATTTTCCAATCAACAACAATCTGTTATTTGAAAAACCAGGGGGGAAGGCAAGTTTTTGTTGTCTCATCTAGGTATCGTGCTAATCCTGGTCTTCTTTGGCCCATCTTACTCATACTCATTCTTTTCTCTCTTGATTTCTAGGCTCAGACATCAGGCACACAAAGAGCTTTATGCCTACAAACAGGTGAGATAAGTAGTAATCTGCTGGGTGTTTCCCCTGTGTTTGCAGATCAGTCTGAACAGAAACCATTAATTTGTTGTAGCAAGCATCACTTTAGGTTTCCACTAGGCTGATCCAGAGTTTGCTGTCTCTTACTACATTCAGTGTAACCCTGTATGACCTGTGCTTAACTTTACTCATGTGAGTACTTTCATTGAAGTCAGTGAGTCCCAGGTACATGGGTGTTGCAGAATTGAGATCTTATTTTTATGCCCATATGTGTTGTCAGTCGTTTCACAGTGACCTAGGATATTTTTTTTCTGATCGTTATGCCCTGTATAGCAAATGCTTTGTCGTAATGACAATAAAGGATGAAGATGGCTCAGCAGACAAAATAGTCATGCTTTATAGGAAGCTAATTTAAAAAAAACCAAACCTGTATTGAAGAGGAGCCACCCCATGTCTGAATATTTGACTGATCTCTACACCTTGAACCCAAGAGGTAGCCCAGGTCAAACAGTGTAGTGCCGAATTACAAAAAAAAACAACCCAAGAAAGTCTTAACAAACAAGATTTTCTGCCCCCTTTGCTTTCTGAGAGTTAAGTTACCGCATAAAACTTCCAAAGCTTTCTCAAGTGGCATTTAATGTGTTCATTTAAAATCTTGTACTTGCCCCAATGATTACCTCTCTCGAGCAGGAATTGCCTGTTGATGGACTAACTGTCTGTGACAGGAGGTTGTACTGGGGGAATGGGAAGCCCGGGAGTATTTTCTCTGCTTGAGTCTGAGCCTAGGCCAGTCGCCGTCAGACGGGACTTGGCTTCAGCGACAGGAGATGCCCCAGCAACATGGCCTGTGGTTCTCACCATCTTTACGACGAGGAGGAACAGTGCCTCCCCCACAGCAGCCAAAAAAAGGGCTGCCCTACCAGATCTAAGTTATGTTCCCATAAATTGTATCTGGCTGGATTAGGTTACGCCAAGCCTTGGGGCATTAAAGTAGTGAACTGAATTTAGAAGAGTGGATTGCTCTGTAGGGAACGGTTCCAAGTGTTCTTGGCAGATCAAACCACTTCTTTTACCATTCCCCATGTACACACATTGCTGCCTGCTTTCAAATAACTACTGATGATAGCTTGGGTGCAGGATAATTTTAAATGCTCTGCTTCCTTCACTGTGTTTTGTAATTTAATATCTCAATTTATAAGCCTAACGGGACTTCCAGCCATGTAATATCTGGTTAATAACATTACAATTCACAGCTCTTCCTTTGATTGCAATCCTTTTCCTGCAAGACAGTCAGAAGTGTGGAGGTAAAGTGGTCTCCTAAAACAGGACAGTTGGGAAGAGAAGGAAATAGGCATCTGTCTGAATTCATAAAGCAACCATCTGGATCTCTTTATCATCCTCGCATTACCAGTTTTATAATCAGCCCAGTAGCTGCCTTCCTGTCTCGCTTAGCCATGTAAGGTAGAACAGGAAGCAGTTTACACTAGATGCGCCTAGTTTATTTAGGCAGGCTAGTTTCAGGACTTTGGTTTTTACTTCCACAGCTATTGGCTATCATTCACCTGAAAAGGATAGTGTTGAACACGAATGCAACTTATTTAGGCAGTTCTGGCCCAGTTTAAAAAAAAAAAAGTCAAAAGCATCAGGTTCGGGGGAAAGCATGGTTGAAATTTTTAGTTGCTTCCAGAAACCATTTCTAACCCTGGGGGTGGGAGGGAATCAATGTTATAATACTTATTTCAGAATCAGTGGAGCTTTATTGGGTTTAACTACAAGCAAGGAGGCCTACATGGAAGTGCATTGCAGTGCTCAGAGGCATGCATCAGCACACGTTTAAGAACATTTACTTCTGCTGCTAATAACGCCAAAGACTGCTGCTTATAATACACAAGACCTGTTCACTGGATTTTTCAGGGTCCTATTTTGGCCCTGCCTGTTCTTTCAGCTTGCAAAATGGAAGTGGGCTGGGGTGTTTTTCCTTTTGCACTCATTGACCTGCTGTGGCTTCCACTGGTGCCGTCTCCTCCAGACTCCCACAGAAGACGTTCGTTAATATTTGTCATCCTCATTACTTGTAAAAAGGCATCCATGCTCTTCTGTATTAAACCAGTGATATGTTAAAATGTCCCACTTGGCCTGGTAGCTGGAGCAGTGCACGTAGCTGAACAAAGGAGATTTTCTCTGACAACTTTGAAGCCACTTTGAATTACTGCAGTTAAAAAGCAACTGCAAAGGGAAATGTTTGCCTTCCCTCTGTTTTAAAGTTTGCTATGAAGGATGTAGTTGCTCTAATGAAGTGCAACGACCAGAAACAGGGAAAGGGTCCTGTCCTAACTCCTGTTCTCTGTCTTGCAGGTTATTCTAAAGGAAAAAGTAAAAGAGCTTAATCTGCATGAGGTAAGTGGCTATTATCGGGCTGTGGTAACTCCTACACCTGCACAGCAAAGTCTTTCCCTACAGCTCAGTCCTTTGCTGCGTTATCCTGCGTAGGCTCCTGCCCTTCAGTTTTCTAGCAGCTGCTCAAGAGACTGCATGGGAGGGAGATGGAGAGAGTAAATAAAGAGTAGCCAGGACCTGTAGATCGGAGAGTAAAATGAAAGCTAAAGTTGGCTAGAGAACGCCCCAGAGCATAACTAGGTTGGAGAGAAGCACACGGTGGGTTGTTTTGGGTCACATTCCTTCAAGCAAGCAGCTGAATTCAAGTGCTCCTTTCTGCCTTCTTATCGGAGCGGTATTTGGGAAGCCAAGTGTTGTTTCTGAAAGCTGGGGCAGGGCGGGGTGTCCAAACCTAACCCCTTGAAGTTGAAATAAATGGGCCTTGAGTATCATACTGGAGGTGGGAGAGCGCAGCGTTGGCTTGAGTCTCAGTCTGGGCTCGGGGCTGTGTTTGAGCTCATAGTTTCATAGTAGTTAGGTCAGAAGGGACCTAAATAAATCGTCTAGTCTGACCCCCCGCCACCAGCCAGAGCACACGCTGGGATCGCACAACCGCGGACAGGTGTTCATCCAACCTCTTTGAATTTACCCAGGGTAGGAGCAAGGACCACTTCTCTAGGCAGTTGGCTCCAGATCCTAGCCACCCTAACAGTGAAATAGTGCCTCCTAATCTCTAATCTGACCCTATTCTCCAGCAGCTTCTGGCCACTGTTCCTCATCACCCCAGGTGCTGCTGGGGGGAATAGGGCCCTTCCTATTTCCTGCTGAGCTCGATGCTGGGAAACCCTAGGATGGTGAGGGAGCTGACTTCGGTGCTGAGCAGCTCCTTGGCTGATGCTGGAATGACCAGAGCTGGGCAGGATGTGAAATAGAAACCAGAGAGGAGGAGGAGGGCAGGAGCGGTAGCAATTAAATGACCAATTAAATGGCATGTGGGGGAGCACAGGAGACTTGTATACGAGAAACGCCTGCCCCATTTAGCCAGGGCTGCTGGGTGAAGTTCAGGGACTGGTGAGACAAACACCGTGGGCTGCTGCGGGGGGTTGAACTGGCGACTTGCGATGGAAAGAGAGCTGAATTGCACAGGATTTCTAGGAACAGGAGTTGTTTATAGATTCCCAGCCTCCCTGCCCATGTTGCCACACAGTCATTACTGAGTAACCCGGTTTCCACCATTAATGTGTTAAAATGTTACCGAGAGAGGATGAGTGCAGCCTAACGAGGCCATGCTCAGTTCCTGTCCCCATCTGAACCACAACACACATCCATTAGGGTTCAGGATGGCCAAAGTGCATCTCCCAACCGCTCGGGGCTTTGGCCAGAATATTTACATGTAGCTCCCTGTGCAGCAGCTGTTGCGAAAGGCCGGCAGCCCGGCGTGCAGCCTCCCTGCTTCCGCCAGCTCCTCTTGTTGCCACATGTGAATAGGAGCGGAGGCAGCAAAGGAGCCCGGAGCAAGGCACAAACCGCAGAGCATGGGGAAACAACAACGGGCAGGAGGCAGCGTCACAGGCCTGACACAGCACAGCATGACACCAGGGTGCAATAGGGGATGAGGGTTGAGAGCAGACATGGGACGCTCATAGCACAACATGTGTTTTGTGCAAACAAGAGCCCCCCACACCCAGGCCGGTCCCCACATACCCAGATGTCATTGCTGTAGCATTTCCCCAGAAGTGTGGACACTGTAATGGTTTGTTAATGAGCCCTCCGGATAGATGTTGTAATTGCTCTTAAGCAAACCTCTGGAAGCCAGGCTCAGAAATGTTTCTGAACCAAGTTTTTTATTCTCTGCCACGATGGCTCTGATTTTTGATCATTCTGGATTCCCAGAAAGGCTGGGATTTGGGCAGCAGGTGGGGTCCAGCTGGGGGGATACATGTTTGGAAGCAGAAAAATGTGCCGTGCAAGACGATTGAAAACGGTGGATAAAAGAGAAAGTCAAATGTCAGCCCTTTTAAGTTTTAAACAGCGTCCATGTAAAGGTGACTTCTGATTCAGTCCTGCTCTCAAGCTCACTGGCACATTTCTGGTGCCTACCTTAGTTGAACACAATGAACTCCAGAGATTTCATTTAAGAATAAAGAAATCCATCGACTCAACCCACTGCCCCCCAGCATGGCAGAGATTCCCCTCCCCAAACCACTAAAGCAGCTTGGCTTTTCTGAGCCTACAGATCAGAGAAGGGGACAGAGGCGTCCGATCATGGCAGCTGCACGTTGCAGTGCATAGGTTAGGACTGAAACATCACTGTTAGCTGCTCACTGCTGATTGCCGTAGCAAAAAGCACCGGGGACTTGGGGGATTCTCCCATCCGTCAGTGCTCTGAGCCTTCCCTCGATGCACGGATGTACTAATACCAACCTGCCGGATCAAAGTGTAACTGCACACCAGCACCTGCAAGAGCTGTGGTTTGAACCTTGCACCAGGCAACATGCCAGCAAGTGCCTTGGACATCATCTGTATCCGTGGCCGTGTGTGTGATGGATGGAGGCTGGCCACACTCCTCTTTAACACTGCCCTGGAGGAAGGGCGGGGGGTGTAATTTTGGGAACTGGAATATGAGCAGAATGGGGGGCAGCATTTCAGCCTCCCCCACTGCAGCAGGATGCTGAGTCTCAGGAAAAGAAACAGCATTAGCAAAAATCCCCCTTTCCTACCTGCTTCGCAAGGTTTAGACATCTCTGCTGTTGTAAAACTTTACAGACAAAATCCCCCCGGTGTAGGGATTAGTACTGAAGCCTGGTTCAGATCTCTCCTATTTCTGCTTTAAAAGGTGCGAGTTTTAGGTGGGGGAGGATTT